GACGGGGGCAAATATTTATAAACCTGGGGTCTTTACTCACAAACTACACAGTCAGCCACATTCATTGGCCCTGGTAAGTAAAAAATAAAATTAGAGTCATTGTTCAGATCCTAAACCTGATCTTATCATGATCTAACGTTTGGAATAAATGATTTGATCAGACATGCAGATACACAGTCTGATGGAATACAACAGATAGCAGGGAGCCATGTTAGGAGGAAGACATGAAAATGTGATGGAAAATACATAAAATATGTTTTTCATTTTCTTTTCCTTGGGATTTTACAGCTCTCCCAGGCAAACGAAGCAAACAAGGTTGTTGGTGTCTTCAAGGTTCAAGGTTTTTTATCGTCATTCGCGTCACATGTGGTACAAGAGGTGGAACAAAATTGTGCACTCCAGGTCCAAGTTACATATACACCCAAAAATATCAATAATATAAAGTACTGAAAGAAACGGTATATAAGAATACACTAAGATATACACTAAACAAAAGCTAAATGATACGCTAAAAGATCTAAGATATACGCTACAAGTAATAATGTAAATGTCTATAGTGAGCAGATGAGTATGAATGCAGCAGGATAAAGGCAAGAGATCAGCAGCATGGATAATCAGCAGCACAAATAATTCACATGTCACCACTTAAAGTGGCATTACAGTGATTTTCCTAGTTAGAGATTCATGAGTCTAACAGCCTCAGGGTAGAAGCTGTTCCTCAGTCTAGTGGTTCTACACTTAATGCTCCGCAACATTCTGCCTGAGGGGAGCAGGGCAAAAAGCGTGTGTGCTGGGTGAGTGGGGTCCTTCATGATGCAGGTGGCCCTCTTCCTGTATCTGGAGATGTAAATGTCTGTGATGGTGGGGAGGCTGACTCCAACATACTTCTGTGCAGCCTTCACCACTCTCTGCAGAACTTTCCTTTCTGCAGCTGTGCAGCCCCCGTGCCACACGTTGATGTTGGAGCAACGTCATGAGGGGCAACATCATGATGGTAATGGGGGTATTGGAGGACAGTGATAATGACAAAACAGCTGACGTCCTAATAGCCACTACAAAAATGTCAGATGCTTGGAACTTCTACATTCACCAATCAAGAATCAATGAGTTGCTTTGACACAAACAGTGGCGGATGTTTTCTCATCTGGTCAGTGCTGCTCAGATACTAAATACATATAGTGGACTTAAACACAAACTTATCAGGATGCTCTTTACTTTACTGAATAATTTCCCTGGGATGGTTAAAAATATGATGCATTCTTTCTCTTGAACTAGATAGGAAATTTTAAAAACAACAATATAACTTTTTGTTCTTTAAACATGTTCGTTCTGTACATTCTGCTGGTCATAGCATCTTCCAAACTGATTCAGAACAGCCAGGGTTGCTTACTGTATGTTATAAACCTAAGTAAATTAACTAGTCAGCTTGGGGGGAGGAGGTGGGGTAGAGGTGTCATGGACCTGCAACCTTTAATCAAAGTCAAGCAGTACAGAGATAATGTACGGTCGTTAATCAAGAGCGTACAGTTTCCTGGGTTCTACCGCAACGCGCAGAGCAAGTCTGAGTCCAAGAACAATTCACACAGGAGCACAAGAACTACGACACGAAGTGCAGCCTTTTCTCAATTACAGGACATAATAAAAATCTACCTTACCTCAAGTGTACAAAAGTACAAAATATTCCACCGTGTCAGTATTTCTTTAAAACGTCAAAACCAAAGTAGAAAAGTTACATCAAAAATACAGTCCACTCTTTGATTCTATAGCTTTAAGAACCACATTAAGCAGCAATAACCTAAAGTAGTTTTGTGTATAACTTTAATCCATTCAGTTCCACTCGTATTATTTACAGTATATTACAACAATTCACAACAACATTAATCTCAGGGCACTATGCAAAAGTAAAAGAATTGAATTATAAATCCAATTCTAACTCAATCACAACTAATTAACTCATATCATTAAACAATACCTTCACGTACAGAACATAATGAAATGGCATTTAGTAAAAGACTGAAGTTTGCTTTGAATCTTCACTTTGTCATAATCCCCATTCTGAACAGCACAATCACTGATCCCAACTCCTCAGAAAGGAAAGTAGCTATTGGCTGCTCTAAAAGTGGCTAGATGACATCATCACCTAGTTTGCATAAAAACACATACCTTAAATATTTTCCTGTACAGTTTCATGTTAAAAAAAAAAAAACTATTTTAGCATTTAAGTGTATTTTTAGGCACCGCACATGGAAATGAGCTAGAACACTATAATCTCCAACAGTGCATCTTTGCTACATTAGAAATCATGTGATCTTCCATAATAATATTAGAATGTATATAAGCTATCTAATGTATATAAAAATGTAAAATTTCCTCAAAGATGTGTGCGCTACAGTTGTACCAGTCGAACTGATAAAGGAAAACGTCTCTCATTCCATATATAAGCAGATTTAATCTTATTTACCTCGATGTAAATGTGATCCGACCAGAGTTGAAGCTAATAATGTAACCGTTTAAAATAAAAACTAGCTTAAAGCAGATGTCATCACTGTTAATTATTGAATTAGCTCTTTGATGTTAGCTGCTGTGGTAGATAATGTTGTACAGAATGTAGCATTATATTGAATCATGCTACAGTTTAGCACAAATTATTAAACAGTACAGTTTGGTATTGCCTCCGATTATGCAACATTTACACACTGTAAAATAATATTTATTGTGACTATTTTTAGGTTTCCATTACACAAACCTGACCTTTTGAAGAGATGGTTAGTTTATATCAGTAGAGACAAGTTTCATCCTTCAAAGTATCACTGGGTTTGCAGTGAACATTTTCTAAGTGTCCACTACATAACAGGTAAATCATAATAAATATATGTTATTCCAATACTGTTAATCAATACCCTTTGTATGTCATTTTTGAGTTGTGTGTGTTTTACTGACTTCAGATCTAGTTTAGATTATCATTGCTTGTAAACTATATACTTTCCTGATAATTAATCTAGCTGTTTTACATGATTGATCAATGAAATTAACATTAATTGTCAATTCTATTAACATATTGTAAAAAGGTGAGAAATAATCTGTGATAGATCCATTTGAATTTGATGTCAATCAAGTAGTTGCTTTGTCGACTGTGAGTTGTTGCCCTCTTTGGTCGCCATCTTTGTTCCTCCCTGATGTCAAGTGGACGGGATTGGGAGTGCGCTCTAGTTGTCTTCTTTAACTCTATGCTGAGGGCAGAGACAGCTGAATGGTTAGTGACTTCACGTGCATCCTCTAAAAGTCTTCAAAAGTTCCCAAACACTGGAAAAAGTTGCTAGATTTGTTACTAGTTGCTTTTTTGACCCAAAAAGTCACTAGAGGAGTCTGAAAACGTGATAAATATAATGACAAATTAGCTAAGTTGGCAGCATTGAGCACAATGGTGACAGTAGAAAGGAATGACTCCCTTTTGACTGAAAAAAAACTCTGGCAGAAACAGAACCAGGCTCAGTGTGGCCAGCTATTTGCCTTAACCAGCTGGAGTTTGAGAAGACAGGAAAGATACAAACACAAAAGGAATGGTCCAATTGTTGTTGTTGTTGTTGTTTCCCTGTGTGAAGAAAACCAGATAAACACGCCTTAATGACAGCAGTAACTGAATGAACATGAAGAATACAGAGTGAAGGCCCCAGAAGAGTGAGGAAGTGTGGTCAGTTTGTCCTCCAGCAGTCCATGCCTATAGCAGCAGAACTAGGGGATAGCTCAGGAAACACAAGCCAGCCCTCAAAGGGCTTATCAAAAAGGAATGTTTGTCATTCTTAATCCTAGCCCTAGTGTTAGCCGCAGGGATAAAAACTGGAAGCTGGTTCCACAAGAGGAGCCTGATACTAACTGAAAGCTCTACCTCCCATTTTACCATTAGAATTCTATGACCCATAAGTACACCTACAGAGATCCAAACATAAAATAATTACAGCAGTCTGGCCTAGAAATTATAAAAATACAAGGTACAGGATAATCTGGTCCAAAAACAACAAACTTTGTCTTTTTTTAAGTTTATAAGCAGAAAATTAAAAGTCATCCAGATCTTTGTGTCTCTAAGGCAAGTGTGCAATTTAAATAGCTTGTTAATTTGGTCAGGCTTTATGGACAAATATCATTTTGTATAATCAAAATATCAATGGAAATTAATTGCCTGCTGTCTAATTTCCCTAATAGAAGCATATATAAAGTAAATAGTATTGTACCAAGCACTGAACCCTGTGGAACTCCATGACAAACTCTGATTTTTAAAGAAGATTCAATAACAAGAATAAGCTTGAATGTATTTATTTTTTTAATTAAACATAGAATTGTTCCTTTAATATTATATTTGTTTGTTTAGTATTATGTTTAAACTTTTATCAGCTTCTCACATAAGTTTGGTGGAATTCTGGCTCATTCTTTTTTACAAAGTTGCTTCAATTCATTGAGATTTGAGGACGGTTTTGTTGTAGGTTTTTAGCTGTTTTTGTGATTGTTGTCTGGTTGCATGACAATTTCAGCCAAGCTTTAGCTGTCAGTTACATTGCCTCGTATTGAAATCTAAGGAAGGTGCAAGGTGCCCATGTCTTATATGCAAAACAGGCCCATATCATCACCCCTCAACCATCATGCTTGACAGCTGGTGTAAGAAGAACCAGAACATTTTTTTATCTCAAATATGAGGGCCGTATTTCATGAGAGCAGTACAAAATCCAAGCGTGAAAACAAATACATCCTGCACTTGAGTAAAAAAAATGTACATTCATCATCATAGACCACAACTTATTATTATAAAGCAAGATGAAACAAAAAGGTGACGTGAGGTGTAAAGATTTACTTTAATTACATTACTGTAAAGCAAAAAAAAGGTTCTTATTAGCTGTTAAGAAATAATATAACCATTTTCCGCATACTATTTATTTAGAAGTCTTGTTGTTGGACAAATTTTAACCATTTTCTGTATTTTGTTTTTTATCATTTTCCCCATCATCCAGACACAGGTGTGAGAGACTACTACAAGAGCTACCCGATGATAGATTACACCCACCGCCAGTCTCCGCCCACTTTCCAGCCGATCAACTTCCACCCCAAAGACAAGCCCTTCCTCCCACCACCTGACATCCACGTGCCTCTGGCCATCACCATCAATGCTTCCCAAATTCCAAAGCCTAAGATCTCCAAGACCAACACCCACCCGCTCACTTCCAGCTCAGCCTTCAAAGTGTGGGATCCGAGCAAGAGCCACATCCAGCACCCGACAGCCACTCACATGAGCATCGGGGGGCAGCAGCAGCACCACCTCATCCAGCAGCAGCAGCACCTCCAGCCACTGCACCAGCAGAACAGCCGGCGCCTGGCCTACTCCAACAAGAGGCAGTTCAGCATCGAGACGCTGCCCGAGCTCTTCTCACAGCCGCTGGGCTACAGCCACTCGCCACACATGCACCCCAAACACAAGGGACTGGCCACCAACAGCAAGACGGAGGTGACGGTGTGAATAAACGAACACAAAATAAGCAGAATAAAAGAAAAAACACTAACAGGGTTAAAGGGAAATGTTCCGATATCCTCGATGTCCACAACTATGACGTTGTGTAAGCAAATATCACATACAGATTTTTTTTAGCTGCATCAATTTCACCTAAAAGAAAACATGAATATGTGCGATATTTGTATATCTTTATAAACTACTGGATCAGACAAATACGGCATGGAGGAGATGGACTAGCAGGTGTCAGCTGACCCTTTGAACCTGGCAGCTTTTCTAAATAATTGAGTGACCTCAGTGCGCTGGCTCTGCTTTGTTTCCTCTCAACGCCCTCTCGGATCTCTGCTCGGCTCTGTAGCACCGCTCCACTGGGTGCAAATGTCCGAATCACACATGAAGCCTCGGCGTTGAGGTTGTGTGAAAAAACTGATGAGGGTGGGGGAATGTATTCTCAGAGACTTTGGCTTCCCCGTCAGCCGAGATAATACCATTGTGTTGTCAGCTCTCATTGCCCTCCAGCACTCCGAAGAGTGAGATATCGGCCTGGCAATCCGAGGCTGAGAGGAAGGCAGGGGAGTGTGGGAAGTATTCATCTCATTCCAGAGGCAAATGCGATGAGAAGGATCAGAATCATACACACAAATGCATGCACACGATACACACTTGTCAAATAGTACAGAATATTCCAGACAATGTCAGGGGCTACAGGCAACTCCTCCTCACATCAGCACTCTTTCTAAGACTAAAAGACACAAACTTATCTCAAAACACGCATTCTTAAATTAAAGGCCTTGCACAGCAAATACAGTATGTAGTTGTAACGATTCCAGTCAAACCCCAAAATTACCAGTATGTGCAATCTCATGCAAGATCACACAATATTACACTCAGAGTATGTGCTGAGGATGAATCTCAGCTACTCCCACATCAAAGTTTGGCTCAATTTCTATAAAATTGGTGGATTTTTACTGTTTATTTGTGTTGGCAAATGCCATTTAATTTTGACAACCATCTTGGATTGACTCCAAAAGTGAATCAGCTGCAGATACAAATATTACTTTATGAGTTTCATTAAAACTTGTTCACTGGTTCATGAGATATTTTACTAACAGACAAATCAGGGTTTACACCAACAATTAACGATAAAGTTTTAGACAAAGATCTTGCTCAATGAGTAGCACTCGGTGTATGAATCTCGGGTGTAGTTAGATCACATTTTAGCACAATTAATGAAAAAAATCACTAAATTATTGCTATTGTGTGAATTATAAGGCCATTTAGTGGCCATTTTTAATTGGGTTGATTTTAAATTACCGGTATGTTTTTTGTAGATGTGCATTCAATGATAAATTTGAGCAACTTCCATTAAAATTGTCAATAATGAGAAATTTTGGTAACGAACACGGTAAAAACCTTAATGTTTGGCCAGCGGCGATTAGTATTAAACCGAACAGGCAGTCAGTGTTGTTACATGTAAGAACGTGTTGCTCGTATCTTGAGCTGCCGTGGATGTTTTCAGCTCTGAGGGGGATCATAAATTTGTGAAAATGGGACAGAAAAGTCAGAGTGTTCAAAAAGATCTCTGCAAAAAAAAAAAAAAAAACCTGGCTTCAGAAATATGTCGGGGAAAAATGTCAGCTGAATGTCTGATGTGTGAATGTGGATCACGTACGTCTTCTGAAATCCACTGCTTTTCAGCTGTTTAGTTATTAAGACCCGCTCTCATAATCAAACACTAAATATCAGCAGTGTGGATGGTTTCTGCATGTTGGAGAGAGAAAGCACTGATGCATTAAAAAAAGTAAAAAGTCTTTTCCCAGGAAGCTCCAGTGCAGCCGTTTGATGCTCTTTTCAACTCCTGCTTGCTCTGCAGTTTACCTTCCTCTCTCCTAATGAAGTGCCTCAGCACTACAAGTGAATTACAGCTAGCACTTAAACAAAACACTATCATAATTCCTGCCTTACACAGCTAACACATCAAGGGCTTCAGCATGTTGAGATTAATAAACAGACTAGATTAGAAGCTTTCATCCCAATGGAAAAAAGTGGAAATTTTCCCCATTTTTATGTTTTGGCATTAAATTGGTATGTTTCCTTTTTTTTATTGTTTTCATTTTTAATAGAAATAATTGCAACAATTCAGTCATTTCATTTCATAATATTTCCACTGGACTAAGAAACAGATGTTCTTTTTTTACTGCAGATCCGCTTGCATGACCATTTTATAGCTTCCTAATATTTGTCAGGATCCCACGTTGTTCTTTCATTCACAGTAAATTCAATGACTGTGGGATGAATTCACTCTCCCATCTCACCACATCCTGATGCTTGGCCCTTGGTGTCCTGTTTGAAGTCAGAGGATACCCTTTAGTGCTGCTTTTCATTGTGCAGTGCAGTGATTTAAACCAGCCCCTCTCTGGATGAGAACGGTTAATGTGCTTACTTGAATGGAAGGACGTTACAACTGCACAGACTTTATGGTTTGGATCTATGAGCTGAGGAAATCTGCAGCACTTTGCATTGTCCCACACAAAGAACACTGCTGTGGACCTTCGTGGGGATTGTGTTGTGCTTTTTAAAACCTAGCAGTGTCATAAAAAAACAGGATTAACACTGTGTGGATACGTTATACCGTAAGACTAACGTAAATTCAGTGTTTTAAAAAACCAGAGAGCCATTTTTATGCTTAATTTGTTTTGCAGGCGTTGGTATGATGTGTGGGTTATCAATGTATTTTACATTCATTTGCATTAATTACTGTATTTTCCACCATATACGTCACACCGCCTCATAAGTCGCATCAGTCCAAATATGTCAAATAAATGGGAAAAAATCCATAAATACGTTGCTTTAACGTATACGTCGCATCTATTATGCATCACCGCTGATGCGTTGCATTTGTCACGCGTCACCGCTGACAACCAGGAAATGTGGGCTGGTGTTGTGCCAAAAATACGCTGCCAAATGGTGACCACTGGGGCGTGCATGGGAGAACTTTAGCAAGAATTTAACAAGATTAACACTTAAGAACAATTATTTGTTTGCTCGAAATTAAAGCAAAGGTGTGTCTCAGTCTAACTTTTGCTTAATAAATGCACTTTGACGTTCAAATCAGCTGCATTTCAAAAGCCGATATGTGGAAACAGGAACACGCAGAGGGCGACTCGCTGTGCTTTTCTTCAAAATTTAACAAGATAACCACCTCAAAACAATTATTTGTTAGCTTAACTTTATAGTAAAGGTGTGTCTCAGTTGAACTTTTACTTAATAAATGCAACTCAGTGATCAAATCAGCTTCATTTCGTCGGAGCGGCGCAGGAAAATGAAGCTGATTTGACGATTGCTCCAGGAAGATGAATGTGGCAGGCTGTGGCAAGCCGATTGTGTCATTAATAACCACTTTTACCTATTACATGATATAACTAGCGGCTGAAAATGGTAGTGTTCAATATTTTCAGTCAGAATGAATGAAAGTGGTCATATCTCAGCAAAAACTTGGTTTATAAATATGGGAAAATCCATAAATACGTCGCTTCGGCGTATAAGTCGCAGGGCATGTAAATTATGCAAAAATACAGTGACTTATAGGGTGAAAAATATGGTAATTTAATTTATTTTGATATCAAGTATATTAGTAGAGATTTTGGACATAGTAACTAAAGAGGGAGTACCCTGAGTTTCAAAATATAACTAGAGAATTTTGATTAAAAGTATGAAAAGTGCATTAAGTGAGTTAGTGTGACCCTAAAAACACACAGTCAAATTGTGGTGTGAAGGCCAGAAACTGCCCTTGGACTATTTTCCCTGATGTCTGCAAAAAAGGAAAGGAAAACAAAACTATTATAAACAATAGCTTTTAATTGTGAAATCTTGAAGCAAATACAAACAATACCTATAAAACTTTTGGGGTAACAGGTAACACAGTCTATGCTTTGGACTCAAGTAAACCTAAACTTGCACTTGTGAAGTAAAGTCGGGCTTATACAGGCAAAACTAAACTAAAAAAAAAGAAACATCACAAAACCTATAAAACACCTTTTTGACCTTCTAAAAGTATTTATTGCCAACAAAGTCTGTTTTATAGAAAATACACACAGCTGACGTGTAGGGAGATTCATTCTGTTGTGATTAAGGTTGTTCACATTGTTTGGGGTAAAAAGAACAAAAATCACTATGGAAACATAGTTTTTATACAACTTTCACTCCGTCCAAACAGAGCAAGCCTTTTTCAGACTGTGCTGTTTTTGAACATGTGATTTTATAGAAGATAGATGAGGACACCACACAGTGCTCACGTTTCACTGCAACACATGACCTTTCATTTTTGATGCTTTGAAACGTGGCCCACCCCTTCTGTTGACCCATGATGTTGGTATTATGGGAAATGCAAATGTTGACTTTTATTAAATTTGTCCTTTAGAATAACTTTTGACAATTTAGGTAACTTTTCTAGCAGTTTTCATTTTTGCTCCATAATCCCAACATTATTTCGAAATCCCTTTTCTTCCAGCAGCCAGTCTGACTCACTGATTGAATTCACCTTCATTTGTTATCGTAGGACACCAGATCTGCTGCCGTGCATATGGGAAGCACATGCTACAGCACATCAGGAACCTCTTCAAACGGCACCACCTCACTAGAATCACTTTTTCCTCTCATCTCCCATTCTGTTTGCCCCCTCTCGTTCTTTAATCAGGCTTTCTTCTACTGCCCGACCTCCCTCCGTCTGTCATTTCCATGAAGAGAGATGGGTACGGAGAGCTTGTCAGGTGTTTGGTACTCAGTGCTCCAAGCTGTTTAAACCATGAGAATCTCACTGGTCCTCCTAGAGTGTGAGTAAGTGTGCACTGGGAGTCCGCTATAATAAACGATGGTGTCAAGGAAAGCACTGCAGGCTCCAGATTTACTCCCTGGTGCTCAGTCACACTTAGACACAAGCATGATTAAATTCACAAATAGTGTAAAATAAACAACCTGATGCCCTGCAGCACACTTTATATCTGTATATATAAAATACCCTGTTGGAATACAATACCAACTCTACAAAACAGTTCAGATGTCTTGAAGTATAGTTCTGTGGAAAGATTTCTGAACAATTTTTACCTTGCCAGAACAGCTAGGTAGCCCTGTTGCTAAAGTACAGTCCAGTTAGCAGTGTGTAACTATCAGGCGCCAAAAGAAAAAACAAAACAAGCCGCTTAATAAATGGCAAACGTTCAAGTTCAACTCAATTTTATTGTCAGTCACATCACATGTGGTACATGAGGTGGAACGAAATTATGTATTCAGGGTCGCAGTTACACCCAACAATAGCAAA